TCCACCCCTTTGTACTTCAGGAATCTAACCCAATGGATTTTCGTTGTCAGATGGCCAACTGGAAATTGGCACAGAAGTTGACGTAACTCATCAAATATAATGACATACCAAAGTGGTAGAAAGTAAAAACTTTAAACCATCTTCAAAAACAATTCAACCGGACTTTTTAGTAACATGGAATTGGCTACTGTTGAATTATAAACACGATTGGGAAAAAGAGCTTCACTGATAAAAACTGGTTAATTGAGTGAATTCTTGGATATTGAAAGTTACATGCCCTACCGTTAAACGATGCAACAGTGCCTTTGATTTAAAAATATCAAGCCTCTTTTTTTCTAATGTGTAATTCTATGTCCAGAGACAATCAGGCCTTTGTTGTTCATAAAGCCAAAACACAAAGGAGATGTTTTTAAGCCTAAGAGGCCATTCAAAATTTACAATGTTTTTAAATTTTGATTTTTTTTCGAAATGGTGGGTGGGCCAAGGAAGATAAGTGAAAATCAAAATTCATTTTTGTTTTAAAAAACAACAAACAACAAAGAAAGATCCTTCAACTTGCCTGGACGATATGCGACTGAGCTGAACTTCATGACATGTGCAACCATGGTGCAACATACATGTACGAACTGGACACACACGTGAAGAGACACATTAATGTATTTACTTTACATGTGCAAGTAACATGTACATGTATGTGCATTCAATGTTACATAGTGCGCTGGACCGGGAGTTTGAGTATTGGAGGACAAAATCACTTTTTTGTTATTAAAATAAAAAATGGAAGTGGGTGGGTGGGTGATTGGGTCAAAAAAATTTGGAAAAAATATATTGAAATTTAAAAACATTGAAAGTTTTGGATGGCCCCTAACATTCTTGCCTGTTAAAGTGTTACACATTCACAATCACACACACAATACACACGTAAATGAATAATACCTGCATTGATCACATGGTGACCAAAAAAGCATTATGGGTCACATGTATACAGAAAAGCTATTAAATACTTTGCAACTTGTATCAAAATGGACATTGTCAGTGTGGTGCTTGAGACCCAAGAAACCATCATAAGAGACCCTCCAGTCTGACTTCAAGTCACAAGCTATTCAAATGAACAGTGACAAAGCATTCTTCCGTCATTGTTCCTGCCGTTACTTGAGACTTGTCTTGTGAAAGGACCGGTGACTGGTCATGTGGAAGGACTTGTTACTGGCCTTGTAGAAGGACTTGTGACTGGTCTTGTGAAAGGACTTGTGACTGGTCTTGTGAAAGGACTTGTGACTGGTGATGAGAAAGGACTTGTGACTGGCCTTTNTTCACTACTTTGTACTTCAGGAATCTAACCCAATGGATTTTTGTTGTCAGATGGCCAACTAGAAATTGGCACAGAAGTTGACGTAACTCATCAAATATAATGACATACCAAAGTGGTAGAAAGGAAAAACTTTAAACCATCTTCAAAAACAATTCAACCGGACTTTTTAGTAACATGGAATTGGCTACTGTTGAATTATAAACACGATTGGGAAAAAGGGCTTCACTGATAAAAACTGGTTAATTGAGTGAATTCTTGGATATTGAAAGTTACATGCCCAACCATTAAACGATGCAACAGTGCCTTTGATTTAAAAATATCAAGCCTCTTTTTTACTTATGTGTAATTCTATGTCCAGAGACAATCAGGCCAAAACACAAAGGAGATGTTTTTAAGCCTAAGAGGCCATTCAAAATTTACAATGTTTTTAAATTTTGATTTTTTTTCGAAATGGTGGGTGGGCCAAGGAAGATAAGTGAAAATCAAAATTCCTTTTTGTTTTAAAAAACAACAAACAACAAAGAAAGATCCTTCAACTTCTCTGGACAATATGCGACTGAACTGAACTTCATGACATGTGCAACCATGGTACAACATACATGTACGAACTGGACACATATGTGCAGAGACACATTTATGTATTTACTTTACATGTGCAAGTAACATGTACATGTACGTGCATTCAATGTTACATAGTGCGCTGGACCGGGAGTTGGAGAATCGGAGGACAAAATCACTTTTTTGTTATTAAAATCAAAAATGGAAGTGGGTGGGTGGGTGGGTGGGTGTGTGATTGGGTCAAAAAAATTTGGAAAAAAAATATTGAAATTTAAAAACACTGAAAGTTTTGGATGGCCCCTAACATTCTTGCCTGTCAAAGTGTTACACATTCACAATCACACACACAATACACACGTAAATGAATAATACCTGCATTGATCACATGGTGACCAAAAAAGCATTATGGGTCACATGTATACAGAAAAGCTATTAAATACTTTGCAACTTGTATCAAAATGGACATTGTCAGTGTGGTGCTTGAGACCCAAGAAACCATCATAAGAGAACCTCTAGTCTGACTTCAAATCACAAGCTATTCAAACGAACAGTGACAAAGCATTCTTCCGTCACTGTTCCTGCCGTTACTTGAGACTGGTCTTGTGAAAGGACCTGTGACTGGTCATGTGGAAGGACCTGTGACTGGTCATGTGGGAGGACTTGTTACTGGTCTTGTGGAAGGACTTGTTACTGGTCATGTGAAAAGACTTGTGACTGGCCCTGTGGAAGGACTTGTGACTGGTCTTGTGAAAGGACTTGTGACTGCTCTTGTGAAAGAACTTGTGACTGGTCATGAGAAAGGACTTGTGACTGGCCCTGTGGAAGGACTTGTGACTGGTCATGAGAAAGGACTTGTGACTGGTCATATGAAAGGACTTGTGACCGGTCTTGTGGAAGGACTTGTGACTGGTCATATGGAAGGACTTGTGACTGGTCTTGTGGAAGGACTTGTGACTGGGTTGTGGAAGGACTTGTGACTGGTCATGTGATGGACTTGTGACTGGTCATGTGATGGACTCAACCACAACACTGAAATTTGTTTGCTTTAATACATAAAATTAACTTCATAAAAAAATTGCAACAGAGCCAAACACTAAAGACAGACAAAAACCTGTCAGAATGACCTTCCTTCAAATTACCCAGACATGCTTGCCGTTGTTAGTCATTACCACATCCTTTCGTCAGTCAAGATTTTGGGAGGACAGAAAGCAAGTGTGGAAATAAACTCACTCTATGCAGAGTATCCCTCGGCTGTAACAAGAGCCAAGAGTTGTTTTGCGGCTGTAAAAGCAGCCTACGTGTCTATAGGCAATGGCTGCAGCCGCTGACTAACGGCAAGTGTTACACTTAGCCATAGCCACCACTTTTGGATGCAGGCCAATCACTGTCATTGGAGGATCCATCCAGACAGGCAATAACATTTCCCCCCAAATCTTAGTTTATCTACATCTTTAACGTGAAGGCTTCAGTATAATATGGTTAGTACCCAGAGCTGCAAATTCTCTAGCTCGGGGCAGCTGCGTTTTCCACTAAAGGAATGGTACAATTAAGTTGAGGCTAACCTTTGGGTCATTTTTGGTGTAATCAACAGATCTTTGAATCTCGAGTCGGAGCTTAAGACAAAACAGAAATGTGGAAACATACCCATATGGACAGGAGAGGGCAGACCTCTCTTTCTCTCCTGGCCTGGGCTCCAGACCCATCCCTTCCTTGAAATGTACAGAACGTAACTTTGCATTGTGCTTTAAATGCTGGGCAAAATGGTCAAATCTCAAGGATCGAAGAGCAAGTGGGAACTACATGTAGTTAAATGTGAAGGCTTGTAAGATTGCACAGTGCGCCCTCTTCAAGGCATCCACGATGGCAACAGGAGAGTCCACAATGAGAACTGCTTGCCAAGGACTCATCTTCTTCACAACTGATTGGCAAATCAAACCAAAGGATGCAAACTCTCCCGTCATGAACAAGGCGTCTGCCCGCAGACCATTTTCCTATTGCCTAAACAGTTGGCCAAAACTTTCAGACTGTCCACATTTGTTAAGTAACAGGCTTTGCCTAAAAATGTGCCTTTACCCTACAAATATAATTTAGCTCCCCTATTTTCATTTAGTTATAACAAGCAATACACATTTGCTATTTTGATAGCTGTATATGGTTTTTTCAATAGGTTTTCTTGCTTTTGTGCTGACAGCCAGCTTGAGCTATATTTCACCAACCTCCAGCACTCAAAAACTGTGACCATGGTGTTCAAAGATAGAGGTCGCGTAGACAAACCTGGAATGGTTAGAGTTTAAAGGACTGTAGCTGCTCTTCGGTGGACCGGACGCGGGCTCGTTTGGTCTTGTGCTCGGCTTGGATCTTGGTGAAGTGGGTCAGCATCTCCTCCCAGTTGATGGCCTTGACGAATGGCCTCTTGTCTGGAATCAGGCCGGGGTTCTTCCTGAGATATGTCCAAAAAAAAAGGACAATCAACGTAAGTAGGCTGCACGGTCACTGCATTGCACGTTGGGGGGATACACACCGGCTCACTCTTTGGCGAAGTGTTCTTTGCCAGACAGACTCTCCAGTTCATAAGTGACTTCGTCACAAAGGCGGACGTGCCACGATTTGCAGGCTCCCATTGGACGATCGCTGAGGTTGTGCGTTAACTTCCGGTTCCACGTAAACTGCAATCAAAGCATGTAACTCTTGTGCAGTGCATGTGCGTGGTTTAACCTGAAGTGACGTCACACTTACGAACCAGATTAAACTGAGTCCATTTGAATAACTGAATGTTCAAATAATCTACCCGCCATTGAATATGATACTCATTCAGTTATACCATTTTCCCACAAAAGTAGAGTGCACTCATAACACCCTGAAATACAGTTTTAGAATGCAAATATTTTTTAATTGCATTCACTTTTACCTGCAATTTCGTTTAAGTTTGAAAACAAAACTAATATTTGATATTTTCTAATATTTGACACAGACCTAAAACAAGGTAACACATGGCCTTACTTCTGATCCCTGGGAACCTGAAGCATGTTAGGCACGCATGCTAAGCGACGCTGTAACGTTGTAAAGGCCGTGCTCTGCGGTAACAACATCAGCACTCCGTATAGACTCTTTACCAGGTGTTGGTTATGTTCCGTGTCCAGCAACTGCAACCTCAGATCTGAAAGCCAGGACAGAAGCCGGCAGATGCATATAACACTGCATGAGTGTGTCATTTCCCCCTCCTTAACATGGCCCCGCCCCGAATTTGGAATGTATCCCAGGAACTGTGGAATACCGGCGATTCACAATAGTGCGCCACCAAGAGTTGGCAACGTGTTGGCCAATCATTTGTCGACCCTTTCCAAATGACTGGCCAACACGTTGCAAACTCTTCGTGGCGTGCTATTGTGAAACAGCCGTATTACAAACTTGACCCACTTGCGCGCAAACCACAGAAACTGCTGCTCATCTGACTTGAACCAGATAGCTGATCCCGGCAAGCTCAGTGGCAAAGTGGTGTGATGTCTGCACTTGCAAACAGGAGGTTCTGGGTTCAACTCCCACTCAAATTAGTAAACCCTCAGAAAAAGAGTTTAACAGATACATTGGAAACACGTAAGCTTCTACTAAATATTACAATGCCCCCCAAAAAAGGACTAAACTATTGAAACTTTACACAAAAGAGGAAGAAAAAGAAATCCAAAATCAATAATATGAGAACTTACATGTAAATATGGGAGACTCTAACAATTGGACCAACTTGTCAATTTCTGTCAGGAAATGTACTGTGACTTCTAGGTCACCGCTGTTTGGCAGTATGTTAGGGAGGGTTCCAGGAGGAGAGCAGATACATTCTAAAGACATGCAGGTTTAATCTGTTAGTAAAAAAATGTTGGTAGAACACTTGAATTGCAGTCCAGTGGTTACAGGTTCAAGTCTAACCTCAATAAAACCAATACTCGTGATGATTCTGATTCATTTAAATTTTATTGGGTTAAATTTGCAAGTCATAGGTTGATTGCTAGAACGCTTGAGTGGTCATTTAGCAGTTATAGGCTCAAAACCCCAATTTTTTTCCCTAAATGAATCTAGATTTTGCTCACAGAAAAAGGCAAGCCAAACAACAGTGTCAACTGTAGAGTAATGGAGTTGCTGGCTTGGTGGTACAGGTTCATTTCCTGCCAGGTCACATAATGCAGTGTAATCAAGAGCACAGCGTACATTACGAGTTGAGCACTGCACTCGCTGTCCAAGAGTTACAGAGTCAAGTCTAAATATAACTAAAACTTCTTTGCAAACAACTCTAATTTGTAAAAGTCCAAAAGAAAAAAAAAACGGTTGACCAACATCTGCAACCCTGAGGGTAAGACATGTCAGTTGGTAGAAAACTGGCGCGGCAGTTAAGAGGTCTCGGGTTCAAGCACCTCATTTGTCTCACAAAGGATACAATGAGTAGATGAGACTGGAAGCGTGTTTGTAATTCTGAGTGAGGAAGCAGAGAGACACCGTGGCAATCGGACTGTGACACCAGGACTTGTACAGACAGCAGAATAACTTACAGCTACTCTGTGGAGAAATTGTTGAAAGTACAAATGCAACGGTCAAGTCAGTGCAAGGCCTCGTTTACGGACAAGATTTCTAATCCCACAGTCTCTGGAAATAAGGCAGGAGGCGGCAGATGTGATCCACTAATCCTAACCCAGGCTGAAGTTTGTCATTTAGATGTTTTCCAGAACATGTGTAATACAGAACTGCTGCAAACTGCTTGCTGACTACAGTGACCCAAATACAAATCACAAAATGTGAAGGGCCTGACATTTCGATCCCAACATCAGGCCCTCCTAATTTTGTAATTAAGATGTTTGACAACTCTTCTCTCCACACTATTAATCAGTCTTTAAAAGTAGTCAAAAGTAAAAAAAAAATGTCTGCAAAAAGCTTTGGTAGCTTTCAGCAGCAAAAGTCGTGGAGTTTGCATTGTTCATATGCACCAGTATTTGTATCATTTCCCAGATGAATTCTTGAGCCTTGTTTTGGAATAATGCATCACAAATGGTTCCCCCATCTTTACATCTCTACGGCAAAAAGTTGAGGATAGGGCAGAAATGCATTATACAACACTGTAAGCACTTCATGCTGGGTGCTTTCTCATAATGATGGACATACTGAGACTGCAATAGGCTCAAAACAGACTCAACCAACCCAAGAGATATGCCGAACTTGTCGCGAAAACAATACAATTGGCTTTGCACGAAGAAAAGTATACATGAGTTCTCAGCATTTTGTTTGGGGGAGGGTAATGGCCACCTGCTGAGCTGAGATCTATTCAGACCTATTCAATGTTGCTACTTACAGAATAATTAAGGACATCAAAATACACGTGATCCTGCAAGCATGCAGAGACATAAATATATGGAAATATTCGAATATCTGGTGCATGTGATCTTTAGAAATAATTGGTAGACAGTGTCCCACTGACCTCGGAATTGAGATCTTTGAGTTGGGTCCGGAGCTCAAACAGCTCTGTCGCCGTCAACAAAATGCTGTTGAGTGTCTGCACCATCTCTGTCGCAAACTGGAGATCCTTGTAATTCACCAGGATCTCAGACAGGGTCCAGTAGATGTCCTCCGTGTTGAGCAGGAGACACAGCTGCCTGAAGACAGGAAACCAGACATACGATTTGTTAACAGTCACACTGAGAGACTTTGGAGGGGGGGTAGGTAATAACATGTGGACAAGTATCACGTTGACGAAATGACATTTTAAAAAATTCTAAAGGTTCTTCCTTAATTGGCATATATACAATTCAGCAAATTTAAGATATGACTTGATCGACAAAGATGAGACATGTTCCACGTGCCGGGTTGCACAAACAAAAATTTCCCTCAAATACTGACAAACATGAGGATTCCGAAGCCCTTGCAGCCAAAGGTGGAGCCAGATTAAAATCTGGGGGAAGGATATTTATGGATTTCTTAATGCACCCTTTACGGCCTTTCTGAGGGATAAGGCTAAATTTTAAGGCTTCTTATACTCTTTTGGAAAGACTCGAAATAAAAATCAACCAAAATAACCTTTCTGTCCTTATAAAAAAAACTTTCAGTGTTTTTTGGGGGGATGGCTATCACCCCTGTTGCCCCCCTCTCCCTCCCCCCGGGATCCATCCATGCTTGCTGCAGAGAGTTCACCTGACAATGAAGGACCCTCTATCTTCAAGGAGCTGGCGGTCCGATGCAAACAGCTCCAGCAGGTTGGTCATGAACTTGTGGAAGTAAGCATTTGTACCGGAGGCCGCTCTAGTCCTCTGAGTGGACTGGCTGGTGCTGTCCACTCTCTGTGTGGTCGCTGCTGGACCAGCCGGAGATGACACCACTTCGGCTAGGACCTCAAGGTCTAGTAACACAACCTGGTGAAGGGAGATGTGGAAGTACCATTTAGGCATGGCAAGTTACATGCCAGGCTGCTTAAGTCACAAATGCAATATGCACCAAGGCAAGTGTTGTAGTCAAGACCAGTCACAAGACCAGTCACCAGACCCATCACCAGACCAGTCACAAGACCAGTCAAAAGTAACCAGGTTAACTATGACAATGGAATACTTTTCTTGCAGTTGGCAGGAATACCTTGTTACCTGAATTCAGACTGGAACTCTTGTAATGATTTTATGGTGGTCTTAAGGGGTCAAGAGTGATCATATTTCAATTACATCTTAAGGCAAAAGTAAGAACCGATTTCAAATCAGAAGGACAGACTCACCTCATCAGAGGTATCGGACAGCGTCCTTACAAGCACTGGGAATATGTCCTCAACATGCTGGAAGATCTGGCAGTGGATAAAGGTGATGAATTATTCATCAGAAAAAATGAATTGGTTACAAACAAATTCAATCAAGACAGGATAGACAACTCTGATAGGCCCTATTGGATTGGGTTAATTTCAAATTCAAGGTTTCTTGTTCTGTTAGTATCAAACCTGTAAGTAATGTCTTGATAGTGCTGTTGTGCTATTCTGAGAGAAAAGCTTACCAGTGTTGTACCTGAGTCCATTACAAGTCCTTGCAACTCCCTGCCAGTCCATCAGAAGTCCATCACAAGACATACAGTCTGAAGCCAATTCGCAAGCTATCCAAATGAACTGTGACAAAAGCATTCTTTTGTCATTGTTCACCCTGTTCCTTCTAACCAGCCTTGTGAAAGGACTTCTGACTGGCCTTGTGCTGGGACCTGTGGCTGGACTTGTGAAGGGACTTGTGAAAGGACTTGTGATGGACTTGAATACAACACTAAATCTTACAGAAAATGAAAAGCGTCATGAAAATAAAAATCCACAGATTTTCAATTTACAAGCAACCAAGAGAGAGTTTACAAGGAGAAAAAGGCAGCGGTGGAAAAGCCCCCAAATGGACATTTTTATGTGATCTCAATTATGTCAGAGGATTTAAACCATGATGCATTGGCCTGCATAGTCTTTCCGTGCATCTCGAAACAGTTCCCAAAGTCAGTTTCCCTATACAGTTTAACGATTTGTGTTCAAAAAGCCGCATTCTCCCGACCGAGTGATCCCTGTTTACCACTTCCCGGGTTGTATTATGTCATTGGGGCATGATCCCTAGCTACATGGTGTTCCAGGTTACATGGCTTTTGATTAGCACCCCCGAACAAAGATATAGACAAATGGGAAGCGCCACCAACGCAGGGCTGGATAGCTCTGTTCGGTAGAGCACCAGTACAGTATTCCGGAGGTCGCAGGTTCAAATCCCACTCCAGTCAATTTCTTTGTTCATCTTTACGATCATTTGTACGCACCGAGTCAGTTTCCCTATATGGTTTAGTGCCTAGAATCAAATAGGTGGGCTCAGCAAAACCTGCCTTCCTGGGTGTCTTCATGTGTAAGTGATACGTCCACCTCAACGAAGTGATCTTGCACTGCATGGAGTTATGCTGCATACACCTTGTCAGCACCTCGACGGTGGGGGCTATGTCCAATCTTACGGCCCTTGAACGAGGAGGGGAAAGAAAGTTTGAAGTTATTGTCTGCTCTACGTCAGACCAATTCATAAATAACATGTTCCATCGATTCAGGCTTTTCTTCCCACCTTTGAAGCCGATTACTCTTCATTGTCCAATTTAACAAAAGAATCCCCCCCCCCCGGAAGTAAGTCTGAAGATTTTTACGGGTTACCAGAGCGGTATGCCGAATAAAAATTCAAGAGAACACAGTTACATACGCTGGTATTTATTCTGAAGAATGAGTTCAGCAATGATTTTAAAAAAGCCCTAAAATCTAGAACATGATGTAGGAAAGACTGACGTGTTGAAATCAAGAGATAAGTGGCAGCTTCAATTTTTGAGAAATGAGTGGTAACCTCCATGCATTCTCTTTTGGTAAACCATATAATTTCACTTCGCAACTACCCAGATATTCATTGTATTTTTGCTGGGAGTGCTTGCCAACTGCTTGGCAAATATTCCAGGATGGCTGGATGTCCCCGGATTTCTTCCAAGGGAACGATTTCCAAAACTTGTTCAGGCTTGCCTCGGGCCCAGGGGAGATGTGCTCAGGCATTTGGCCTCTGCTTCATCATCATCTCTGTCATCCTCCGCAGTGACCAGCCTCATGAGATTTTGGTTGACCAGTTTAGCTGCTTCCTTGATGCGTGCTAGGGAGATCTGCAGTCAAGGAAGGTAACCACGACACAAGCAGTGGGGGAACCTGACTCCCTGGAAACTTTGGACAGAAACCTTTTGAAACCTCCCCATATCCACCAACATCCCAAACTAGGCAGGGAACCAATAGCACATGCAGCCACAAGTCAGGTAACAATGGCTGGGCTAAGTCCTAAACCCTGCATAAATCTCCAAAACCTTTTGACAGGTTTTGTAGGATCTAAGGCAGTTGGGGTCATAATTTCAATTCCAAACACAAAGATCACAGTCTTCGCTCAGAACCAACATTTTCACTGAGGGACCTTGAACCTCAATTTCAAACATGACTGTATATATCTTGTGACTAAAACAATCAGATTCAAGACAATGAAGAAATAAGGAATAGCGAAGGATATTTTTCCTGTTAATGTCATCGTACGCCATACATGGTGTAACAGCATTTAGCAGTCCTGAACAAAAGGGTATCATGGTACGGCCCGCCTGGTTGAGAAATTCCAACAGCCAGTTGATGGCAGTCAGCTGGATGACCTCATCTGAAAAAAATTTAATACTCAATACCAAAATATTCTGTTAAATATTCCATTTAACAGAATATTCTGTAAGTAATTTACCTAAAAGAATATTTTAAACCATAGTTTAATATTCCATCGAAACTTTCTTTTCAAGGTCTTCATTCACATTGATTTTTCTTGTGCAGAATTTTTCCAACTTGAAACAAAAAACTGGCAAAACCAACATGACTTCTGAATCAAGTTGCACACTGTGGCCACATTATGGCAACTGCACTTGGTCCTCTTTCTCAACTTCTGCAAAAAAAATCATAACTTCAAACTGATAACTCGCGATTTTTTTTTACCAAAGAAAAGTTGATAACTTACAAAGGTATCAAAAACTCATTGGTTTTTTATCACACCGATGCTTTGCAATTTTGGTCATGTAAGGAAATGACGACATTTACGTTGCATTTTGTGGGATGTGGCCTCAACATGGCGACCCACAGTTCTGTTCTTCTGACTCACCATTTGACTGGCTGTGCGCTATGAGTATATTAACCATGGGTGCATAGTCCACACTGGACGGTAGCTGCTTCATCTCCTGCATGAAATGATCCAGGCAGAACTCACACCTAGAGGGTCAAAGGGCAAAGTTCAACAGATCACACAGATGCCATCAAACAAAGGGAGCTAATTTTTTGATAAGTACACCAAAGTGAAAAAGTTGAAGTTTGTATCTATGTCAAAGGCCAAATGTTCTTCCATGTCATTGTATAAACTAGTGTCACTTGTCAAAGGTCCCTTATCGAGAGTAACTTGCAGTGACTTAGACTGTGGAGGCATACCAGTAAAAGCCATCCATGAGACAGTATCAAATATGAACAAAACTGATAAGGTTTGTGATCCAATCTGTACAATACTAGAAAATCAAGAAAATGTGAAAACATTACCGTTCATGAAAGGTAGTCAAGCCCCAATACCCCTGTGCACCCATGTTCTAGTGCATTCATCATGCCAAGAAATGATAGGCTTTGTGCCCATTCAGTTGAAAATGACAGCATAAATTCCATACCACAGGTGCAGACAAACAAGTGCCGTGTCCCCATGCCTCAAGTAAAGTTGGCTACTCTCCGAGTCAGTTATACATTTATGCAAGACACTACCACCTTCGTGAGCAGAGCGCGAAATTAGACCAAGAAAGTGCTCGGACAAAATATCATAACACAATCAATTATGTTCTGCCATTAACATCTTTTGATCTGCCATACTGTATAAAAGGTAGAGTTGTAACGTGCAGTGTCAGGGGACGAAATTCACTTTTCCTGGTCCTACCAGAACCGCACACGCAGCCGCATTGACCAATCCTTGTTTGGGCGCAGGCCGCAACGATTTTTTTTTTTAGTTTGCCCGATTATTGTTATTTAACTAAGGCGTACTGCGTACATGCAGTCTTTTAGTAGGCCAAAAAAATACATGTACCTGTAGTTGTGCTGTGCATGCCTCTCAAAAATTGGGTCGGTAGGTCGAAACATTTTTTTTGTTTAGGGGCAATTTTGTGCTGATTGAATGGCATCGGTGGAGGCAACAGCCTCCGAAAGTATCTCAAAAAGTGATGAACACCTTTCTTAATCTATGTAAAAATTTCTACATACGGCAATTCACAAGAAAATCATGACCAATTCAGGCAATCACGACGGCAATCACGACGGCAAACAGGTCAACAATCTGACAATGTCCGTGTTTCGCGTGCATGATGCGTCTAGACCAGCGGGCGCTAAACCTTGTGCCATGAGAAGAACAACCTGAAATTACGCTCATGAACACTGAAAATACACGCATAAATAAGAGACCAAGTTCTGCGAATTAACTTGCAGCCTTTTGTATTCATGATGAAAAGTGTTTATGTACAGTACATTCAGTACATGTACAGTACAGACTGGTACTGGTTGCTACATTTCCATCACGCATTCTTTTTACACAGGTGCAGCGCAGCGGGAACCAGAGCAGCTTCCTTTGATGCATAGAGCTTCGTGCACATGTTTTCACCACTGTGACAGCAAAACATGAATATTGACGATGCGCCAAGAATTATGGGGCGATTTCACATACATACACACGTGGCGCTGGGTGACATGGGCCAGTGATGAGTGATCAGCCCTGATGAATGCCTTGGGTGTAATTAATGTATTTCTAACACAAAACTAATAATAAATTGGACGCCATAATCCCATATATTGTGTTGGTATTTTAAGAGCTGTTATTGATATGATGGTCTGACAATTTGTCCGAGCATTTTTTATTTTGTTCGGACAAACACAATAAGTGCTCGGAAAATGTCCGATGTTCGACCGTAATTTCACGCTCTGCGTGAGGATCCTCTACCCAATGAAACTTAGGTGTGAGCAGAAGCCAAAGGTCATCGTACATTTTTCTGATTTCCTTGTTGGGGTCTCCCAAGATGTGGAACATGCCATCGAGGATCTCCGGGAGGTAGACAATGAGGTTGATGTCTGGTACCGAGTTCAGAGTGGTGATCTAAGAAAGATGTCCAAATTTGAAAAGCTAAAATGCATTTGACCCTTCCGATTGTCATTGAGACAGTGTGAAGATGCCGAAGTTTTGTGTACATTCAGGTAAAATTTACTCCCAGTAACAAAGCAAGAGATGAGATGGACTGTGAACACCATTACTACTGTGTACACAGTGCTCAGGATGCTGGAAATTTAGTCAGGAGTATGCCATGTTGTTACAGTGACAAGGATAGAGGTGACGTGGACCCTGAACAACATTGCAGCCCTACATACAATGCTCAGGATGCTAGAGCTTTGTGCTCATTCTGGTGCACTATAAACACAACCACTCCACAAACCTGCATCAACCTTCATGAGTAACTGTTATGAGATGGTCACATAGCCCCATTCACTGCTCCCACACAGAATCAAACATCCATAAATGGTGTTTATGTGCGGACTTACCCACGAGAGAAGGAACTGTCTGACAAAGGAGTTGGTGGAGTAAATTCTGTCTCTGAGCAGGGGTACAAAGGCCACCAAATCAAAGCCCTGGCTTTCCGTCACAATATCCTGGCGGGGAAAACAAAGCCCTACATCAAAATCATTTAAATTACTTACCAGATATTACTTACCTAGTATTGTATTTGAATCCATCATAAGTCCCTGTCAGTCCATCACAAGTCATGAAGTCTTAAGCCAGTTCACAAGCTATTCAAATGAACTGAGACAAAAGCTTACCTTTGTCATTGTTCACCCTGTTACTTCTGACTGGCCC